ATAGATTTAGTATTTACCTCTACTTTTAGCAATCGAAGATCCACTGGAATGTTTGTATCATAAGATTTCTGATCAATTTCTATTCTTAATTTTTCCACTTCTTGATCAATACTAGTGACATTTTTGTAGAGAACTACTACTTGGAGATAGAGGATCAAATTTACACAACAAGTTACAACAACTGATCATACTAAACTTTTTCTCTTTCTCTTAAGATCAAATCGATATCTTTGTCTGCATTTTTATAATGTTCAAGTTAATCATTATCATCACTGTTAATTGTTTGCAATTGATCAATTTTAATTTTAAGAAAAAACATCCTAGATAAAAAGAGTATAAAAATTCAAAAGTCAGATTTTGTTGCAAAATTCCTCTTTGCCATACAGAAAAGTATCGAATTTAATCTTTTGAAAAGCTGCATTAATTTTAATAGGAAATAATCTTGATTAAGTTCCTCCTTGATAAACGAGAATTACTTGATTAGCACAACAATGACATAATAGATAACAAAATAATGCTTGTTTAATAATAAAAACATGGAAGTTTATATTGTTTAGTAGGAAAAAACATGATCATGCTTGATTATATAGTAGAAAACATAAATGAATATTATTGAAATATAACTGAAAGAATAGTTAAAGTAAAACGTACAAAGATTAGTAAGTCTGTGTGTTTTAATGTACGCAAAACACAGTTCATATATAAGTTCTAAATCAGTCTCTTTATTCATCCTCATCCTAAAAACCTCCTCCATTACCACCGTCATTTTCATGATTAACACCACGACCATCATCATCATTCTCAACACCTCCCGTAGCAGCACGAGTTGATGAACGTTGTTGACGAACTTTTCCTTTTACATTAGAACATTTATCTCGAGTACGAGTATTTTCTGAAAAGTACTCGAGCATTTATTTTTTCTGAAGAAGCCGGTGAATCCGAAAAAATTTCGGAATAAATCGATTTTTGATACGCAAATAGCCAGAAAAAAGATCACCAGTTTTTTGGGAAGTACTCGAGTATTTTTTGGAATACTCATTGAAAAAGTATGAGTATGAGTACTAGGAATTTTGTACTCTCGCCCATCTCTGAGTCTACTTAGTCTTTTGATTATCTCAACTACTGGAAAGAAAGGTTGTTTTTGGAAGAAAACCTTTTTTTTATCTTCGACCCTCTCTGAGCTTATACACATACTATTATCAGCGCCAAAATATAAGGCCGCTGGTTGTTTTTTGAATAACCAAAGACGATAAAAGACAGATTTGGGATTTTCAACAATCGATAGAAGACAGTTTTGCCTATGTTTTTATTAACAAAATCCTTTTCCGAAAATATTCGGACAACCGGTTCTCTAGGTCTTTAGACAACCAGTTCAGATCTCCGAAAACTGAGATAGCAATCTATCAGTTTGTTTCATAGAGATATAGTCCAAAGTGTCCTCTCTAATATGGGAACTAAGCGAACTCTTCATTTTTCCTAGTTCGGGTGTGGCATTGGATGTCCTGAGGGTCCCAGGATCAATGTTTCTTCAGGTATGGAAATTCTGAAAACGAATGGAAATATAGGTAATGGACCACGCTGGATCTCGTGGTGACATTTGTTTTTCAAAAAAGTTTCAAAAACTGAGTGATTTTACCTACTCAATGCTATAAGATCCAAGAAAAAACAATGGAAAATACTTTGGATTTTGAAAAGATTTTCTAGAAATCTTCCTAACTGCAAGTATACTTAATACTATTCTTAAGGAAAAAATCGCATCGAGCAGGTAAAATCGATCGAAAAAAAAACTCTTAGGACATCCGATGCCACACCCGAACTAGGAAAAATGAAGAGTTCGCTTAGTTCCCATATTAGGGAGAACACTTTGGACCATATCTCTATGAAACAAACTGATAGATTGCTATCTCAGTTTTCGGAGATCTGAACTGGTTGTCGAGAAAGTCAATTTAACGATGGTACGTGTCCCTTAGTAATATACCGTTTTTTGCACTTCTTCTGCATGTATGCATGGTTTGTACAGAGTGGGCTTCTATTCTGCAGGAGGATTTATTGAAAATTGAGAATAAATACATATTTTAGAATTATCATTTTTGTATGATTCTTCGCTTGACACTCTCGCTGGAGTCAAAAGAATATACTTGATGAGAACGTAAGTAGTCATTTGAAAGTGTTCAGAGCTAAACAAATGCAGTGCTCAATATTCCTTGTTTTTGAATTTTGAATTGTTTGCCTCTTTTCGCTTGATGTTGTCATTACAAAAAGTTTACCTGATAAGAATAGAACTATCTGTAAACAAACTACAACTGATTGCTCATCTGCATTTGCCGTTAATTCATCAATTCTGACGCCATTCGAATCATCAGAAGATTTCAAAATTTGTAGTTGCTAAATAATAACGAAAGGATACGATACGATACACGCACGACTTGAACCCACACAGACCTTAAAAAGCATATGATGGAAGCGACGAGTAGTCGGAAGTTTCAGATAGACGATTTTTACTCGTTCTATTTGAGTTTCGAGCCCCTCTGTAGGCATCGACAAGCGAGTCCTTGAAAAAGTTGGTTCCATCGGACACTCATTTTTGAGTTCTCTGACATATTTTTAAAAGAGAAAAATATTATCGGAGTGCTTCTCTTATATAAATGGAATAGATGCTTTTCATAGAAGAAGAACAGTTCATATTTAGTTTAGATGCTCGACGAAAGTTAAGTACCCATGCTTGAATCTTCTCTTCTGCACTTATTCGATGGGTATCGGCGGTTCGGACATAAAACATCTGACGGACAAAGATTTTTTCAATTTTCTCAGTTTCGATCCCCCCGAAATCGCACGAGAAGGGTCCCTTCGACAGACATCGACGCTCAAGATCGAGTTTTTGGAATGCCACTTTCCGATGGGTCGAGAGCTTGACGAGAGGTGAAATATTTTCATTTTAATAGACCCATCGGCTGACAGCGTGGGAAATTTCACTATAAATAATCTAAATTTAATTTCAGCAAAAGCTTTTTTAAGTCTTGTCTTGCTCTGCGTGGACAAAACGCACTCAGAGTTCGATCCAACTATATGTTGACCTTTCTGTATTTATTTTATAATGTTCAAGTTAATCATTATCATCACTGTTAATTGTTTGCAATTGATCAATTTTAATTTTAAGAAGAAACATCCTAGATAAAAAGAGTATAATTAGATAAAAGAGAAGAGAAATAAATTATAAAAAATTGTTTTGCTGTCAGATGATTTGTTATTAAATCATATTGAATAGAAACAGGTTCAGTTTTGAATACGATTAAATTTTTATTTATTTAGTTTAGCTAATCCGATGATGATTCAATATTAATTTGTATTGCTTCTTTTTCAATTACACTGGGTCGAATATGTTCCATTTGATGTTGAATTCTGAAAATATTTTAAAATGACTATTATTAACAAGATTCTACAATAGAACAGAAGAAGAAAATATTTACATTTGTCCTTAAGGGTATCCCCCCTCTTTTTTGAAAAAATTTTGGATTTTGAGCCGAGCATAGCCTAATGTAGAGGAAAGCCTGGGCTACAAAATGAGACCACTCCCAGCATTTCACAACCTTTCTTCAAAACGTTATGCATTTTTTAAGTTTTTTCTTCAAAGCCTGAAAAACCTCAATTGTTTACTTTCATCAATTTTTCTCTCCTTTCCCGTACATTCAAAATTTTGCTTACACATAATCTAATAGAAGAAAGTCTTCTCTTCACAATGAGACGTCTCCCAGAAGTTCCTAATGAGTTTTCATGGAGATATAAGCCTTGCGGTAAATGCCCTGAAAAAAGTGACCTATGTACAAAATGTGTTTTTCTCAAAAACTATTTTTTTGCTACCGGGCTTCATTGTGCCACATTACGACCCCCCCTTAAATTTCATCCGATCGAGTTAAAAACTTTACCAGAGGTACTCAAGACACTATTGCAGAGGTATTTTTTTGGAATTCTATTTTAGACTTTACCTCCTAAAAAACGTTTCTCATTCAATAGCTCGATGCAGAATTCAATTTTCTATCGATCTGCGCAAACCGCAGATTAAACAAAGAGATATGGACTGGAAAGAGAATTTTGAATATCAATTTATTTTTGAAATAAACCCTTTCCTTCGTCCGTGGCGGCCAAATCCTTCTCTACCAACTTTTAAAATTATATAATTTTAAAAGTTGGTGAAAAAGAATTGCGACCAGAGAGTGAAGGAAAGCTCGTCGTTCAAGAATAAGTTGATATTTGGAATTCGCATAAAATT